ACTACTTCTTTGGTTCAGATGAAATTTCAGATCACATTTAAAAAATACTCCTCTGGTTAATTTATGATTATCCAACATCATCTCCTTTAGACAGTAAATTTTTAATTTTTTTTATTTTTATTTTTTGGCGGAACTGGGGATTGAACTCAGTTTGCCAGTCAAGCGCTTATTCTACTGAGCCATCTCCCTGGCCCCGACAGTGATTTTTTTAAAGGACGAGTTTCAGGTTGGCATTCTATGAGACAAAAGAACAGTGTGTATAAGCGTGTTAGTGATATAATCATGTGTATAAAGTTGTATTTAATGGAGTCACCATTTATAAAGAGGAAAATACATCCTGTACATAGGTAGTAATTTCGATTCTGCCTTGAGCCTTATGTTTCCCTCTTATGTAAAAATTTATTTCTTTACCTCTTTTCAATTTTATGCACTTAGGCAGCTCCTAATTTTTTTTTTTTTTGTAGTTTGTTATCCCTATAACTTATTAAGACTCAAATATTTTTGGGGGGCTATACTTAGTCATTTAGGAAATGACAGGAAGAGCAAAACACGGTGCTTTTTCAGGACATAAGACATGAGGGTAAATAACAGCCCATGCTACTGTAACTTTATGTTTTGCATCTCCTTCCTAAGTTGCTCTCTTCCACAAGACCCCTGCATATCTTAGGGAAATGTTGCAACTCACAATGCCTACTTCCATTGCAAGCAATTGAATGGCAACATTCTGGCTTTGATTAAAGTCTTCTTTCGTAGAACTCTTAGTCTTAGGGCGGGGATCTGATTGCTAAACAAAGGAAATGTTAGTGTAAAGATACTAAGCAGAGGAAATAATCACTGATAACTGCAGGGATAGGAGAGACAGTACCCCTTGCATGTGGATCTACTCTCCAAGTGGGAATGTAAATGTCTCTGTTGGAAGAGTTGCAAATTTCCTGTAGAGTTCATCTTCAACTACTGGTCGAAAATGATTTCCTTTGGCCCAACTATTTTGGCTTCAAAATTTTGACTTTATTTCCCTTTTCTGGTAAATGAGAGTGTACCATCTTTTGGTGGGCTATTAGTACTTTGCCTTTATTTCCTCATCTTTCTACTTTGTGGGTGATGATGCCCTCTCCTGTCTTCATCTGCCTTTAAAATAAGATTAAAAAGCCAAATGGAGAAAAAAAATAAATAAAAAGCAGCAAAAACAAACCAACCTAAGCCTTGTATTTCTATATTTCTTGGTTAACGTTTGGAACATTTTCACAGCTAAATGCTCTATGTGTGCTTAACTTCCCTCTTTTCTGCAGTTCTCCTATCACCTCAGTGTTCTTCAGTCTTTGTATCTAAAATTATTTATTGAGAAAAAATTTAAGCCAGAGAATGTTCGATTAGGAACATTTTCCACTTGCTTCGCAAAGCACATAGTAGCCATTGGCCAGCTGAAGTATTACTGAAAATATGATTCAGACTTGAGTCACTGCCTCTTAGATTTATGAGACCCCAATGCTGGTGGACCTCAAAGAATGAGCTGGAGTGACTGAGCCAGCGGCACAAAGCTCCTGGCCCGTGCTGGATGTTACCTCGTTTGGAACACATTTCAAACTTTAGAACAGATGTTTAAATTGGAAGTTGAAACCTGCAGCCTGTCAGCAGAAGACGCTGACTCACCCTGTAGAACTTCGCTCACTCCAAGTTCCAGGCACAGTTTTTGAGGGAGTAGGTTACCTTGAATGTGTTGTGCTGATACACCAGAAAGAGAAATTAAAATACACACGTGCAACCACACACACACACACACACACATACACACACACACCCCAGAAAAAGAGCAACACATGAATCAAAGCATCTTTTGGACTTTTTCCATATGTTTATGTCAGTGGGGACATCCTTAAATTAGACGCTACTATTTCAGTACAGTTGGTGAATGTACACCGATCTCTGAAAGAGTCCATTTTCCTCTGCATATTTTTCTTTAGTGGAGGGAGTTCTTCAAGTGGAGCTTTTTGAGTCGTAACTGTAAGGTCACTTTTATTATGAGATAATTTGGAGCTTAGGAAGTAGAGTCTTGGCAAGGCTAGAAATATGACACCTTCTATCATACTAATGGTAGTAAATTCTGTATTAATTGGCCATTTATTTCCTTGGGAATCACAGAACAATTACGAGAAGTCTAGGTGCTTATACAACTGTGAAAATACTCCTGAGTCCCTCAACTTAGGAGAACTACAGAGATGATAGAAATAACAATAATTTTGAGTTGGCACGAGTATCAAGATAGTGTTTGAAGAATACTAACATCTGCAGAGAAAAAGCTTTTATGGTCTTATTATCTTAGATAGGAAAACCGATACTAAAAGTGAACCACAGGGAAAAATGCACAGAGTGACCCACTAGGGGTCCCTTTCAGTAAAAAAGTTTCAGTAATTCAAAAGACCAAGCTCCAGTAACTTGTCATTGTGACTGAAAAGCACAAGGGCCAGGAAAGGGCACCACACAATACTTTCATAGTAAGATACATATCTGCCTCTTTTTAAGCCTCTATGTGGGGCAGCCAGTCAATTAGCCTTAATTAGACATTCAGAGCTTGTTCTTCCAATGTACTGACACAGTGATGACACCATCAGGTTGCTGTGCTTTCTAGAAATTTTAGCTGTATTTAAGTATCTCCAATTGCATTTTGCAAGATGATTTATTTCTTGAAAGGGAAGAAGGCTCCACAGTACATTTTTCTTTGCAAGGCTGATGGAAAGGGTGGGTGGAGGATGTGAGGTACACATTTTGGAAAGAAAGCAACTTGGTAGAAAGTGATTTTGTTTTCATATATTAACTTTGCAGAGTTAGCACTGGGAAAAATAATTGCAAGAAATTGGTGTAAAAGCCAGCTAATAAAGGGACTAAAAGTCCCTATAGAGATATCAGGCTGTCACTTTCTGCTAATGGTAGCAGAAGATAATTGTGGACAAATACAGCAGAACTAAACCATTGCCATTTCCCTGCAAAAAACATGTAGCTGCCTCTTATATGTTTAGGAAGAAATTGGCTACCTCCTCTCCTACAGGAGTATGACATGGAATATCAAACTTAGTGGGAAGATATCTACCCTTTCTTTCACTCCAACTCCCCCTCCCTTTTAAATTAGAACACACCAAGAGCAAAGTGGGATGACCTATGATCCTATGCAACTGTATTCTGCAATCAGTTGTAGGCTCTCTTAGGTTTCTGAGCTCTGCTTGGAAATCTGGCCTCTGGCATCCACTTCGCCCTCCTCTTTATGACGTCATGAAGACATCTGCTCCATCACAGCTTCTTTCTCCACACAACTGGCTTTCTGCTCCTCTAAAAGAGCAAACAGAGCTGAGCAAGGGCTAGTACACAAAGGATGCTGAACAAGCTAACTGGAAGAGAAAATTTTTTTCTCTCTTTCTCTTTCCTAAAGTAGAATCCTAAGTGTTCTTCTTTCAGGTAAAGCTACTGCAAGAAAAGAAAGGATATAAGCAACGTTTGGTCACTGTTTGCATAAGTATGTTTGTTATACATCCTTGGAATAGTTGTATAGCAGCTAGGTATAAACCCCAGTTCCTTTTAGAAGCCAGGGAAGAGTTGCACCCCCTGGGTAATCAACACTCAGAAAGCCTACAATTGCTTCTTGCGGTTCCCCAGAGCAGCCCCATAATGTATACCCAAGTCACTTCGGCAAGGTGGTTGTCGCTGGAAAACCTTTCCCGTATCACATGTTTCACTGGTAAGCGAAAGTGAAATAGGCCGAGATACGGGCTGGCACACTGCACCCACATCATCATGACAACATCTTTCAACAAAAGTGGAGAGAAAAGTGGCTATTCCAGCTCACAAGACTTCTTGCGTCCTGAATACGTTCAGTAGTAGTTAAATCAGGTTCCCAGCTCCCTGTATTAACAGAGACCTGCATTTAACTCGCATTAAAATATGGATTTTATTGCAGCAGCTACAATAATGCTCAGTACCGCGCTGACCTGGCCAGAGCCTCCCGCCTGGAGGTCTTCGGTAACTCTGTGCAGGAGAATGTCTAACCACAGAAGTGGTCCCGGATCTGCGGCGGCTGCGGCACCCACCCCTGCACAGCCCCTTCTATCACATCCCGGATGAGCGCATCGTGGGTTTCGTTTTTCTTACATCTGACACCTCAAGCCGGACGCACTCGCTCCACTCTTTCAGCAGTCCGGGGAAGGCGTTATCCCCTGGACTTGCGTCTGACCAGCCTTTGGAAGAGCACGAGGGAGCTGCGTCTTCCGCATGACTTTTCCCTGGGCAGTGTGCTCCATTTTCGGAGTCCAGCGTTGGACTTTGCTTGCAACCAAAGCATTTCTGTTCTATACGAGCCAGCAGGCGTTGCCCAGAACGTGCAAGCTAACAATTTTCTTTAGCTCCTTCTGTCAGCCAAATCATCTCTTTTAAGTTTCCCTTATTGGGAGCAATCCAGAGTTTTCAGACTGTCTGAATCTCTGCCTTAGTGCCAAAGGCAAGAAATGAAACTCAGCTCAAGCAGTTCCCTCAGAGACCCTTGCAGTGCGGGAGGTGGAAATGCAGCCGGCCCCCACGGCTCCGCACCACTCCTGCACGCACCGGCGCCCTTGGTAATTGACCAGCCAACTTTGCAAACGCACTAGCTGCCGGGGAGCCCCCGCGGGTGGAGACCGAGGCAGCGGGCTCTTCTGGGGCGGCCGGCTCCCCGCGTTCCCTCCCAGCCCCACGCGGGATCTGTCTTACCCGGAGCGGAGGAGCGCAGCAGCGCGCAAGGCTCCCGGCAGCGGCGCGGTCCTGGGCAAGGGCAGCAGCGCGCACCGGACCGCGCGCAGCCCTCTCGGCTCGCAGGCTGAGCCTTCCCGGACCCGCGCGCCGCACCCGCGGGGCGGCTAGGGCTCGCTCTCGTTCTGATTGGCTTCCATCCACGCCACAGAATTTAAAAGGAAAAAAAAAATAATAAAAGGAAAGATGCACGCATCACCACCGGTACTTCCAACAGACCCCGAACCCACCTCTGCGCGACTGCCAGCTCCCGGGGAGCCCTGCGACCCGCCCAGGCTGCTGCTGCCGCCGCCGCCGCCGGCTCCGCCGTTCTCGCTGCTGTGGCTGAAACTGCAGCTCTCGGGATGGGAAGGTTACGGGCTCGGGAGAGCAGGCTCTTGTGGGCACACACTGATTTGCAAGTGAATGAAGTGGGAGGGAGCGGAGAGAGGAGGACTTTGTTACCGCGGCCCAGAGCCTGCCCCCGCCCGCCCCCTCCCCACGACAGAATGACTCCCAGTGTTTCAAGTCCCGAGCAATTCGCTCCCGAGCACTCGTGCAGCCCCAGGCTTTCCCTTCTTTTTCTTTCTTAGCACTGGGGGCTGAGGGCGGGGGGGGGGGTGTTAAGACATCCTGAGAACTTGTGTGACTCGGGTGATCCCTGCTTATATTAGCGAAGGGCACCTGGTACTATTATCAGCAATGGTCTAATGTTCTTTTTTGAATCGACCGAGCAATTACGATTCCCAGGGACACGGTACCGTGCCGCGTCGCGCTGTGCTATGCCAGCCAGCCTCGTGACACAGCGCACCCAACATGCACACGCATGAAACAGCCGGGTCTCCTGAGACAACAATACCGACGCCTGTTCTTTGCAACATACACAGACGCGAGCAGATACGGATTCACGGCTCTCTTCCCGGAAGACAGCTTTAAGACAGCCCCTGGTCTCTCTTTGGGAGTGAGGAGCCCCAGGAAGTGGACGTCTGAAGCCACACTTCCCTGGGCTTGCAAGCACGCTCCCAACCCAAACCCCTGGAGCTCGCCAGTGACTTCCTGACTGATGCCGTCTTTCTAAAAGAACTGCAACAAGGATACACGAGGCGTGCAGCGCAGCGGGTGTAATAATGTTTAAGGTCTGTGTCGTGTTTAAGATGTCTCTGGAAAGTTACCGAACTAGGATAACCGCCAGATTCAACTCTTTGCTACACAAAGCTGCTCGAATGGCCGTGTTTACTATCCGTTAGAACGGATTTCTAAAATTAGAGAACGGCTGCAAATGTCTTAAACATGCCAAAGTATTATTAAAGGAGAGTAATGGCTTTCTACAGAGGAGACGTAGACATGATGGAGTCAGGCGCTGTTGAATTAGGAGAATTAAATCTAATTACCACAGTGATTGCACCCGAGGTCAGCAGCAGCCCAGGCCAGCTGTTTGCTATGCTGAGTTTTCAGGGAGATTTCCATTGCTCAGTGTCCTGGGCAATTCCAGGCCACTTGGCCTCCTAGTGATTAAAGTGGTTGGGGGCTGATCGTGTTCCCAAGAGAGGTCTTACTAGAAAACCTTTTGTGTCTTCAGTAGAAGTTCAGGTATTTAAATAAAGCCAAAATCAAAGTATTTCCCCTAGGCAGCCAGTGCTTCAGAGAAGCGCGTGGAGAACAGCTTTAGTGCAGATGTTCCACACACGGAAAGTGCAAGGACTTTGAGTCCCTTTCTTGAAAAGATCTCTTTCTAATGAAGAGTTGCTGTCAATTTACCAAAAGAGGCTGAACATTTTCCCGTCTTGCAGCTGTTTAAATTCTTATGATGAAAAGACGGGAGAAGAAGGCTGCTTCCGGTTCATAGTCCCTTCCTGAGATTATGAATTTATGACACATTTGATGCAAAAGATGGTTTCTTGCCTCGGTGTAGTTCTTTACCTCTTACAAAAGTCCTTTCATAGTTCATTTTATTTAATTCTTCTATCAAGTCATTTTTTTTTTTTTTTTTTTTTTTTTTGGTGTCCATCAAGATAGAGAAAACAGATTGATGAAGACACGGCAGAAGTTAAGAATGTGTCCAAAGCAACATAACTGAGAAGCACAAGAGACAAAGTATCACTGGGGCAGCTGTGTGCAGCTGTGTCGTGGACACACAGAACCACAGGTTGTCTGTGCAGTGAACATACATACATGCTAATAAGGATAGTCACATGTTCAGAATGCCTCTAGAGACAGGCATACAAAATAACTGATTTTATGATACAACAGCGAAGTTCATTTTCTATCCACTGAACCCGTTAAAATGTCTCAAAGGAAATCTCTAATTGTTTGCCATAAACTATCCTTCAAACCTCGTTAAGTTACCAGTCAAAGGTGGTTAAAACAATTAGTTTTATGAAAAGTGGACAGTGCACCTGAACAGTTCAGTTGGTAGCATTAAATTACATAAGGGACAGGTTGCCCCAGGATGTTGCACTAAGACTTATGAGGCTTGAGGTTTCCTAGTAACACTCACCACAGTAGTTATTAGTGTTGAGTCATGGGATTGTGTAAATATACAGAATTGCTTTATCTTGATTGCAAAGGTAAAGAACCGAGTGTTACTAAAGGAAAAGGATTGCTGGGCATGGTGATGCACGCCTGTAATCCCAGCACTCTTTTTGGGAGGCTGAGACAGGAGGATCACTGCGAATTTGAGCCTGCATTACAAAGTGAGTTCAAGGCCAGCCTGAACTGCATAGTGAGACTCTGTCTCAAAGAGACAAAAAGACAATAAATAAATAAATACTTACATGTGTCACCTATGTTTTATTATATTTTGTTCTCTGGCAGACCAAAAAAGCCTGGGAACTTACAGAAGCCAATCAGAAATCATTAATCCAGTGAGACAGCCTTGCCATCACCCCATGGGAGTTTCTCATGGAACTTAAGCATGGAAATTCTGGAGGGCCTGCAGAGAGGCCCCGGGCTGGAGAAGCCACCAGCTTTCTGCTCATGTAGGTAGCTTTTGTCTCCTCCCTTGGCCTTCAGCCCCCTGGGAGATAGCACCATAGAGAGTTCCAGAGCTTACCCGATGGAAAGAGTGACTTTCTGCTTTTGCTGCTTTTCTACTTTCTGAGAGAGGAGCTCTGAGTGGTCAGGTGTTCCTTGGATTTGTTGGGGACCTTCAGGTGCAGAAGGAGGAGGCAGCAGATGCCCATGGGTCACGCTGGCTCCCCCAGGACCAAAATGAAGGTCCCATAGCCTGTGCTCTCTTCTCTTTAACTCATTGCCAAGGCTGAAGCGGCTCATTGGTTTTCAGGCTGTTTCATTATTTTATATGCTTCAGTCAGAATGACTTCTTTCTTTTTACGTTTCATTTTTAAAAGAATCTCCTTCATAGACCATTATTAAGGATATTAATTTTGATGATGAATTTTCTAACTTACACTAAATCTCTCTTCAGATGATTAAGAGGCTATCCTATCTTTCCAATGGAGATGCATATAAATAAATAATTACAAATTCCCTGACTTTCATTTGAATAATATTCTTCTGTATGCAATGACTACCTGGTATAAACATTTTTGTGGACATTAACTATTATTCCTGATTAGTAGAAAAATTCACTTCGGAACCCATGTGCCTAATTAAGAATCTTGGCATTGCTGGTTTTGACTCAACCAATCCAAATCTTTGGTCTACAGCTTACCCTAAATGGGTTGCTGCTAGAAATAGCGCGTTCCTCACATTGCTTATGATTTCAGCTTCGTGTGCACGAGTGAACAGATGTCGGTGAAGAATGAGTGCTCCTCCCACCCTTGCCTCGTGTGTGCATGCACATGTACATGGCAGGAAAATGTAGTTTAAAGGGGAGAAACAGCTTTAGCCACTCTAGGTAGTATTGAACTCAAACAAAGAGCAGGGAAACCTCAATGGGATTTCCCTTTTGTAAGGGCCATAGACATCTCAATACAAGCTAAACTAAATTCACACAAATTACACGTGCTCATCCAGGTTTCTAATCCTGGGAGAGCTTCCAATACAGTATTCAAAGTGAGTTGGATCCCTGGATGCATTAAGACATTTCTCTCTTGATCATTATGTGTGACTCATGACTGTAGGTAGATTACAGTAAGCCAGGAGACTTTCAACAGAGATAAATGCACAACAGCAGCACATTATTGACCTATACTAAAATATTGAGAATATTTTAGTGCTCTGGGTCTTGAAGGTATGTAAAGCTGACTTCAATTTTGCTGAATTCTTCTTTTTTATATTTTATTCATTGTGTTTCAGTGGAATGTAAACTCACCTGACCAGATAGGAAAACTCAACTTTGGCAGGCGGAGTATCTGGACTGTACTATGGCACAAAAGGACTGGCCTCATTGAGAAGAAACAGATGGTTAGGAGGAAATCTGATGTACCAGAATGTCCTTGTAAGTAGGAATATAGACTTGTGTTAGCTACTTTTCTGTTGTTTCTAGGACAAAATACCTGACACCCAAAGTTAGAGGGAGAAAGGTTATTTAGCATGTAGTCTGTACAGGTTTCAGTCCATAATTGCCTGGCTGCAAGGCAGGGTGGCACAAGACACAGACGCAACCACTCATGGTGGGTGGAAGGTAGCAAATCAACAAGAAACCTCAACAGCCTCTCTCTGCCTCTTTTATTTTATCCAGATTACTTAGGGCGGATGCCACTCACATCCTTAATCGGACTGCCCTCAAGCCTAGCAGTGTCCCATTGGAACACAAGCCACAACAAGACCAGAATAAACACAAAATCCTACCTCTTCCCTCAGTGGGAAAAATAATTCTCCTTTTCCATCAACCCGCCTCCCAATTATAGAAGCACTTGATGGGAAGAGTGACAAGCTCAAGTGGGGAAGACAATATAATAGCATATGTTAAAAAATATTTTGGGATTTTATAGATTGTAAGAACATCAAAATTTCACAGTATATCATGGCTGTCAAAAAGAAAGTAGAGATCAAGATGTGAAGTTGGAAAGAAGGTTCCCATCTGGAGAGGTACCAATATTTCCTTTATGATGGACCAGGCCTCACCTACAGCTTCTGTTCTTTTCAGGAAGCACATAGAAATATCCTTTTGTTTTTGGTCCAGTCTCTTGTATTTTCACTGTACGTCGTGAGATATGCATAGTACCTGGAGTAGACTTCATTACTTACAAGTTCCTTGTCATCTGATACATTATATATTCATTGTATTTCTGAAGGTACTGAATTTTTTTGGTGGGGGAGGTTTGGTTATCATGGCAGTTTTGGTGTTTGATGAAGTAGCTGGTGCTTGACTATGAATGAGTAGAGATTCAGAGAAACTAGAGTGAATTTGGCAGACAAGAACTGGGGACGGTTCATAAACTTAAGATCCTGCTTATGAGTTAAAAATGAAAAGACTGGAAAAGAGAATGTTATAAGACTCAAACGACTCTCCAATGAGAAAAAATTAGATGGACTTCTAACATTCCAGACGCTTCCA